TTTATTGAGACCCTGCAGTCCCTGCCCGAGAGGAGGGTGCTGCCCTGGCACAGGCACTGCGCAGCGGCAGCGAGGGGGTTAGCGCGTCTCCAGGCCAGACGAACCCGGGTCTGACCCAGCAGCAGGATGAAACGGAGCGAGCCGAGGGCACAGAAAGGCGGTGGGAGCAGGTCTGCGCGCCAGAGGACGTCCCGCCGGGGCAGCCCGGCAGTAGTCAAGGCGTATAAACTGCCTGGAGGAAGGCCAGCCCGACGGAGGGGCTAAATAACGCGTGCAGGCAGGGATGGCGAGGGATGCCAGGGGCTGGTGGGTCGCCTCCACCTCTGCGCTGGACCTGGCGCAGGCAGGCGATGTCAGACGGATGCCCTGCCCGGAGCTGCAGGCGGGGAGGATGCTGCTTGCCCACGCCTCAGTCCCCAGCCATGACCAGGAGATGGGCTGTAGGGTCCCCAGATAGGACACAGGCTGCTGGTCTTCATGGTCATCTCCCAGTCCATCGCGTGCCCGGGATGCTGCTCCACGTTGTGGATGTGCCACAATGCTGATGCAGGGGAAGGATGGCCCCAGTTCAGCGCCCTGCCTCGGCTCACTCCCAGTGGCAAAATGAGACGAGTGGGACTTGTCCTCGGCCAAGCTGTGCCCCAGCTGCCCGTCACAGCGGTGTGTCCCCCCGGAGCGAGCGCAGCCGGTGTCCGGTCACCTCTCCCGCTGCTGGGAGCGGCACCAGCCGCTTGGTCCGTTTGGGAGTGGGAACATCCACGGAGGGTTTGGGCAGTTTCAGCCCTGCTGTGCTCGCGGTGTTTGCTGCAGGAGGGACACGGGCGGGTGCCCTCACCGGTGCCCCGTGTCGCTGAGCTGGTCCCACGTACAGGACAGGAATGAGCCAAAGGCAGACCCAGAGCTGCCATGGGAGGGAGGGGAGGGACGGGGCTCCTGTGGCCACTTTGGGGACAACTTCTGCAAAACAGCCCTGTGCTCCAGGCAGAGGTGGTGGGGGCAAGCGGGGACACCCCCGACAGCTAATCCTGCATCCCCCCAGCCTGCCCCCAGCACTCCCAAACGCTCCCTCCTCCCCACGGACTGCTCCAAGAAATACTGCTTTTCCCTGGAATGTTTTTGTCTAAGATTCCTTGGATGGAATTAGGAAAAAAAAAAAAAAAGAAAAACTAGGTAAAAAATAACTTCCCCCAGGTCACAATGAAAGGCTGGGGTTAGCTGCACAGCTACCCTGTCCGGGGCAGGGGACACCCTGGTGATGGGTTGGGGACAGTGTGACAGTTGGAGTGGTCTTTCTGTGTTTAGCAGGGGAGGGGGGCACCAAGCAGGGGTACAGGAACTGCCTCGTCCCGTCAGCAGGAGGGATGCATCTCACAGGGATGGGGTGGGACAGCATGGGGTGCAGCTGGATGGGATGGGACAGGGGACCAAGGTGGTGGGGAGACGAGGGATGGTCCCCTGCCCCTCACTAGGACTGCAGCGAGAAGGTGACCTTCATGCAGGCGAGCTGGTTCCCATCACTGCTGATGACCGCCTGGACACGGTAGTTGCCGTTGGTCAGCCAGGAAGGCAGCTCCACCTCGGGCAGCTCGATGTTGCTTTCGGGCAGGGAGTAGGAGCCCTGCAGAGAGAGGGGACACGTAGGCAAGACGTCAGCCGAAGCCCCCGGCCCCATGCCGATGGGCACGGTGGCACCCGGCCGCGCTGGCAGCATCGCCCCGGCCGGGGCTCAGGTGTACCTCTTGGAAGGGGCAGTGGCAGGGGATGCCGTAGGTGAGCAGCGGCTCCGGGCAGAATGTGCCGGGCGGGATGGCATCGTCGAGCAGGGTGCAGACGTCGTCGTAGGTGCAGCTGCCCAGCTGGGC